GCGCCACGGCCTGGCCCGGCCAGAGGCCCTTTACTACCAGGGTGAGTGTCTCCCTCTGGTCAAGGTCGGGTTGGGGGCCGGACAGGGCACTGGGTCACCGGAGCCGGGGCGCGTAGCTCAGACACCAGCACAGGGGGTTCCTGGGAGCCGAGGGGGCAGGGGGGGAATCCAAGGTGCCAAAGCTCAGATATGGGGCTCCTGGGTCCCTGGGATACAGACATGGAAGCATCAGGGAGCGGTGCCTTGGGACAGAGATATGGGGGGCCCCAGGAAGCTGGGTGCAGGGGGCCTGCGGGACGGAGCCTAGGGTCTGAACGCGACAGATATAGGGACCCAGGGGACATGCCCAGCAGTACAGATTTGGGGTCTCGGGGGAATCGAGGGGCAGAGCCTGAAGTCTGGGGAGCACAGAATTACAAACTCTTAAGACCCCAGGTCTCTACCCCCAGGGTTTTGAGGAATCAGTGCTCAGGCCCATGACACTGAGGTTCTTGGCCTCCAGATGTGTGGGGTCAAAGGAAGTCAGGGGAATAGAAGCTGGGTTCTAAGGAGGCGGGTATTAGGGATCCCAGGACGTCAAAATCTCAGGAACCAAGACATCCGGGGACTTGGGGGATCAGGAGAACAGAGTCAGAGTTCTGAGCGCCCCAATGTCTGGGGTCAGAGAGAGCCAAAGAAACAGACCTGCGGGTCCTGATGAACCAGCAGGACAGGGGCCCAGGGCGCTGGGCACCCAGTTATGTGTGTTCACCATGGATCAGGGTTTCATCCGGGGTCACAAGACCAGGCGGTGTTAGAGGGCTTGGGGCTGAGGATTCTAATAATAGGGGACAGGACCAAGGAAATCTGGGACTCAAGAATTTGGGGCCAGGATGAAGGATTCTGGGATCTTCAGAAGGCCTCAGGGCACCAAAGCCTGGCATTGGAGATACAGGGATCAGGAAACTTGGGGGCGTTCAGGACTCCCAGCGATGAGGAGATGACAGAGGAGGCCAAACGCCATTCTCCCCATCCTGACTCCATCCCTGATCTCAAGGAAGGGGCATCCTCTGCCACAGCTGTGCTCACCTCACCATCCCCAAGTGACCCCCAAAGTGGCAAAGCCCATGCTTAGTGCCTCCAAACCTTTGCCCAGTGTATGCACCTCCCACCCCATTAGGGTACAGCCTCTAGCTGTGCATCAGGAGGCCTGCTACTACCCCCCACTTCCCATTCCCCAGGTGAGAACCCAGGTCTCAGTTTTCCCATCTATGTGCTGGGTAGATAGGGATTTCCCTGCTGCCAAGGTCCCCCTTCTGACCGTGTGATCTGAACAGGCTTCCACAGGCTTCTGGTATCACCTTCTCTCACCTTCTGACCCACCCCTCTCCCCAAACACTCTAGGCAGTCACCCCACACTCAGCACTTCAACCTGTCTTTACCTCGCTCAGCCACAAATTCACTCAACAAACAGGCCCTGAGGACCCCCTGCTGGGTGATGAGGGGGGCTCAGTCCTTGAGGGGCTTTCTGCCTAGCAGGAGAGGAGAGTCAAAAACATGGAAAGCGACAACAAGGCCAGTGTGGCTCAGTGGTTGCACAGGGACCTATGAACCAGGAGGTCATGGTTCGATTCCCGGGTTGCAATCCCCAGTGGGGGACATGCAGGAGGTAGCCGATCGCCGATCGATGATTCTCTCTCACCATTGATGTTTCTATCTCTCCCTCTCCTTTCCTCTCTGAAATCAATAAAAAAAGTTTTTAAGCATA